GAATGAAGAATTCAGAACTAATATTTGATTTAGGACAAAGGTAGCACTACAGTCCAATGGAAAAATGGACAATCTTTTCAATAAGTGGTGTTTAGTTATTTAAATATTGATATGGAAAAATAGGGAACTTGACTCTTAACTTACTTCACACATAAAAATCGATTTCAGGTAGATTGTTGATATAAATATGGAAAGTAAACATTGAACTTTTCAGAAAATGATACAGTAAGGCAGTACCTTAAATAGTATAAACACAAGTAAGTGTTTAAAGAGGGCATAGATAACATTAAAATAAAAGAAAACGTGACATTTTAAAATTACAAATTTCTTTCACAAAAAAACAGCATTTTCCTCAAGAGTATGAAAATGCAAACCACACAGAGTAGGAAAACTACTTCCTAAAAAAAAAATCTAAGAAACTCATTTTAGAATATGTGAAGTTCTTCTTGAAATCCATATGATAAAGGATATGCAACAGAGAAATTGAGAAATAAGTAGGAAGTTCACAATAAGACTAGCAGCATGTTTACCATATATCTATAAAGGCACTTGAAAATAGTCCAGAGAAATAGAATTTAAATACACAAGTAGATAACACTACATATCTTCCAAAGAGGATAATTAAAAAATAGGGCAAAAAAGAAAAAAAAAAAGTACAAAGAATTGGCATAATGTGAAGAAAAATGACAGTCTTATAAACTGTTAATGAGAATGTAATTGTAACAGCTTATTTTGAAGCATCTTTGGAATTATCTACTAAAGTTCAACATAAAAAGCAATTTTACTTCTAGGAATATGTGTATCAGAAAGGCATTTACATGTGTGCCAAGAGACAATATGAGTATATTTGTAACAGCAGTGTTCAAAATAAGTGTAACTGGAAACAACCCAATAGTCTATCCACAGTAAAGCACATTTTTTGAAAAGCAATTCATGAAATGGAGTAAAAAATTGAAAAAAATTGTAAGTACAAACAACTATATGAAAGACTATATGAAAGCCATCAACAGTAATTCATATTTATGATTCAATTTACAAAATGCTCAGAAATAGACAAACTTGATTTATGTTAGTAAATATAAGGTGAACTTTGAGGAAGAAAGAGAAAGAACATTAGAATATTATTTCTTGACTTAGGTGATATTTACATGAGTATATTCACTTTGTAATCATTAATGAAACTATTAGCATCTTAAAATGTATATAAACATTGTAAAATATATAATTCAAAAAATTTTTAAATATAAAATCTTTATCTTATGCTGTGTTAATTCATCACAGGCTATCCAAAACTATTTGTGGGCAAAGAAAAAAAGGTTGACATATACAGTAATAAATATTCCAGAACTGCATAATGAGGCCCTATTCTTACAACAGAACATGCAATAAAACATGCTATGGAAATAATGCAAGTATTATTAAATTTTGAGGAAGATAAATGAAAGTTATTTGAGAATGATTCATGGCTAAAGAGGTAAACAAAAAAAAATGTCTATTTTGGCATCACAGAACTTTCTAATATTAAGTATGATAAAGAATGTCCAAAGAGGAAATGATTTCTTGGTTTCAACTAAACAATTGAGCATAAAATTTTCTCAGCTACATAGTCGTTTAAACCAAACTTAACAATGAGATGAATAGCATGTTTGCAATATATCAAGTAGTTTAAACACAGAACATAGAAAAATGAAAAAAGAATATATAAATTAAGAAAAAATCAAGACAGATAGACTAATGTTTATTTGTACTTATATAGCTTGGTTTTACTAACTGAAAAAGTGTGAGCTTCCTCAATAGTTAAAAAGAGATTCAACTGATGTAGAAAGAAAAACATTGCCAGTGGTCTATATTTCAAGGAGTCTTTATGGACACATGATTATTTTTATTCAGTATTTATGTATAAGATATAAATCAATGAAAGAAAGACTACTAAACTATTTGCAGAAAAATAAAAGCATACTATATCCTGAAATTCCTGACACTGAACTGTTACAAATAAATGGATTAAATTAGGGTGACCCAAATTAGGTGCTTTACAAATCGTAGTACACCCAAATATTAAAGAAATGTATAGCTGGTTAGGGCTTTTAAAAATATGCCTTGTTGGAAGATTTTAATTTAGATACATATAAATATAAAGTAAAACAAAAGTTTTAAAAAGAATTTTCTAAAAAATAAAACAATGAAATAAATAGAACTATCTTTTGAGAATGGAAGAATCACACAGAAGGAATTTATTTCAAGTAAATTTAATATGTAGTGATTTATGCAACTCTAGTGGGATGTGTTGTAAGGACAAAACTAAATGTTTAAATGTGAACCACTTTTGTTGTTCATGTAGCTGCTGATAATATTTGTGTTATTATTCTGAAACCACTGTGTGTGCATTGTGTGATGAAGACAGTGAGTTTTAATGTTTGTCATTGAGAACACTGTACATGCACACACACACAGACACACACAGACACACACAAACACACACACAAACACACACACACTTCCTGGTTCTGACAATAAAAAGCCTTAGGAAAAAAAACACCAAAACAGTAGGAATGTAAACCCCATTGCCCACAATACAGTTTCCAAAAACCATTTCCTGGTTAAAGAACCAGGGCTCCTTCGTGTAATTTCAGCTTCCATATCTCAGGCAGTAATTTTTTAAGATGATCCGAGAATATATTATTGTCTCAGAAAGTAAATAGTCTCAAGAAATACTATGTCAAATGATAGTCTACATAGAAAACCCGACAGACTCCACCAGAAGCCTACTAGAACTGATCCATGAATTCAGCCAAGTTGCAAGGTACAAAATCAACGTACAGAAATCGGTTGCATTTTTATACACCAACAATGAAGCAACAGAAAGAGAAATCAAGAAACTGATCCCATTCACAATTGCACAAAAAACCATAAAATACCTCGGAATAAACCTAACCAAGGATACAAGAGATCTGTATGATGAAAACTATAGA